TTTCCTGACTCGTGCTTCGTTCGTCCCTCAGGGAGCCGTGGGGGGCGGTTGGTGATTAGGCTTCTGCGGTCTTGACTGAGGGTCTAGGAGGCATTTATGGTTCAGGCGTCGAGGCAGAAGGGTCGAGATGTCTTCGGATTATCATGATGTTCCCCACTGCCTTCATAGAGCCTTGCAGCATCAAGCTTCCGCAGCCCCTACTCATTTTTCTAGAGCAAGCGAAGGATCCCCAGATCATCAAGAGCAGGCACTCAGTGACTATGCAGGCACGCGGTCTGTGACTTTGAGGCTCCAACCAGCACCAGGGAGGCCAGGAGCAGCTGCCCAAGCTCCAGCTGAGACAGAAAAAGAAGACGACCAATCAGGCTACTCTGTACAGTCGCATAAGTCTGAGCATAATGGGGTTCAGCAGAAACTTCAAAGAGTTCATGCTTTTGTGAAAACTGGCCTTGTGTCCAACCTGATGGGTTGTGCCCCACTTGGAGATACTTAGGACCAATCTCCTACTAAGTCATGGCTTTTCTAATCTATTTCAAGAAGTCGGTGGCTGTCAAAAGTGCATAGACGTTCCGGGATTTCTCTATGTGATCGTTTCAATGGCTCGAAGAGAAGCTCATGCTGCGACGCTGCAGATACAGTTACGTCACGTTACGTCAGCAGTGTTGATCTACATGTACTTTCTGAGTTGACACGGCCAAAGAATAGTCGGAGCCGAGAGGAGGGAGCCTTCTCGGAGCCCTGCCATCCTTGGCCGAGAACTTGTTCGAGACCCCAGCGTTTCGGCCTGTGTCGAACTAGCATGTCTGTAAAGGTACTGTAGTCTCAGTCTCACGAATCTCATGCATGGGCATATTAGGCTTTCACAGTGCATCACTAAGCTGATTTGAGTGCCACGACGAATCAAGACATCACTCGTAATCCACAGAGTACGGCTGTCAGCTCAGTTGAACCATGATCTGGCTGTTTACGCACGTCTCTACGAGAACGGGTTCCTCAGCCCGAGTTCTCAAGTTTTGGCCTCAGTGTCTCCAGTTGGCCACAAGCAGTTCGCCGCAGCGGCCAGTGGCGAGGTGCCTGCCAAGAATCTTGAAGACAAGTGAAGTGAAGTCGAGACAGCAAGCCCTGCAATCATCCTTCACTGCTTCCTGCTGAGTTCAAACTTGTGGGAAGGACGGGAGTGTAGAGTTGACGAACATCCAATGGGCTACGGCGCAGAAGCGACCTTGGCCGCAAGTTCTCAAGCATAAGCTGCTGACACTGTGTTACATCCGCATTCCGCATATCAAGGACACGGCGGTGGCACGCCATCCCGCAGGTTGCACAAGCCCAACGCTTGCGTCATTACTACCTCACCGGCGCACACCGGCTTCCAGCTTGCAAAACCTTGCGAAGTTCCTGCCTCTGCCGTGTCCATCTCTGATCGCCAGACCATGCGACCACAGAGCAGCTCACAAAGTGATACCTGAAAAAATGCCGGTCACCATGACACATGTCCAGCGACTCAGGCCGGTGCAGACAGCAAGTTACAGCCACTCAAGGCAGGCGCACTATTGTGTCTACATTTTGAGGCTCTTGCTGCAGTGCCCCAAACATCAGCCCGATGACCAATGGCGAGGCGAAGTGTCATCTCTGGTGCCCATTTGCCTGAGCGGTGTGCATGTTTGGTCCACCAACCTTTCCGCCACGGCTGTAGGGCACTGGCCCAAATGTCCCGCTCNNACCTTCAGCAAGAGCCCTGCCACAAATGCTGCTTCCGTATGAGGAGTTCTGAACTGCAGATCAGCAAATGCTTGGTGTGCCAGTTGCGGCCGTGTTCATGTCGGAAGTCAAGACCTCAGATTCTGCCCGGGTTGCAAAGCGAGCTCACCAAAGAGCAACAGAAGTCAATCATAGCAGAACATTCTTCTGTCAATTGCATACAACATCACAGTCATGGCATTAAGCAACAGGTGGTGGAGCTCCTTAGCTCACGGCGGGCGCATCCAAAGTCCACGATCTTAACCTCAGAAAGCCTAGATAAGCTTAGATGAGCGTGCAGCAACATGTACAGAATGTACAGGTTGCTAACCCACGCCGCGATGCCACATATGCTGCCTAGAAGCCCGAGGTCCGGAGCAATGACTTGCCTGAACTTCAGAACTTCAGAGCAAGAGAAATGCCAGACATGTCACCAGTATGCACCACTCCTGCCCCATGCCTCGGTCCAGATGAGATTGTCTGGCTTGATGTCGTTGTGAACAATGCCAGCCTTGTCCAACATCACCAGCCCTGCCAGCAAACTGCTTGCTGCAGGTGTCTCAAACAAGTTGTTGACAGCACCTGAAAGCGCTCCGAAGGCCACCAGCCGCAGCTTCCTGAGCACGACTATGAAGAAAACTATCAGCTGGAGTTGACCTGCTACGCATTTTGGGTACACGCTGTTTTCTATCGGCAGAAACTCAATCCGTTCGCTTCAGGCCCGCAAGATCAGTCCACAGGAAATCGCAAGAAAATCGCATCAGCTATAGGTAGGGACGGTACCCCAAATCCTGGAAGAATCCTTGTTGCTCGGTGGACAGCGCCAAGCAGTTGCGACCCTGCAAACAAGCAACAGTCATGAGTCAGCACATGCCAGCTGGATCCGAAGCAATCAACCCGCCCTGGTCACCACAAGTTCAACTAAATGAGGCTTAGGCTGCAGGTTGAACATGCCAAGATATGCCAAGGCATGTCTTCCAGACGAACAGGCCTCCAGCATACTCTCCACCGTGTAACCCACCTGGGGGGAGCAGGAGGATGAGGAATATGAACACAACTCTGAAGACTGAACTGAAGATTTGGGCAGAGGTGTCCGCTGAGTCGTGCGGAGAAGGGATAAGACGGCCGTATTTTGAGTGTATATTTCCGAATTTTATGCCTCTAACCCTAACATCACTTTTTTTGCCGGCTAGGTGTTTTTTGTTATGCTGC